ACTTGAAAAGAAAAAAAAAAAAAAAAAAAAAAAACAAAAAACAAAAAATAGAAGAAAGAAAAAAAGTCTTCCCAAGTAAGTTCTCTCGAGAAGTAATGATATATTCATTTCGAAATTCATAAACCGCGTTCGAACTGTACGTGTGTATGTATGATTTCGTTCTCGTTAAGTATATAAGTATAGGCTCTTTCTCTTATAACGTGAAAGAGAAAAACTTGGAAGACTCACGTCGGATTCCTTTGACAGCATAAACACCAAAGCTCATGCTAACTCTCCTTCGATCATGGACAGCTACTAAGTTCTTCTTAGTGGTGTCTGATGGATGGTCATTAAGGTCGAATATTTAAATTGAATTTACGAGTTCTAGCCTCGGGCTAGCTTATGGTTAGCTAGCAAGTGAGCTGGCAAAAGATCTACCAAGATATCAACGTCAAAAATCGTTATAAGAGAACTTTGGTCTTCGTTTGCGTTCGAATAAACAGACGTGTTATCTCGAAAATCTCTCAACAAAAATGCAGTATTTGTCGTTAATCGAAAAAAATATGTTGCGATAAGTTGTAAAAATCTATACGGCAAAACTTCTCTTCAACGATTTTATATCTCGATCGAGAATAGAATGATAGTTTTCTCTAATGCGGCACCCGCATCTAAATCGACGTCGATTAATCAGAAATTGCAGGAAAAAGGATTCTACCCGAAGGCATCTTTCGCAATTAAATATACGAGATATACGTGATTTCTTCATTTGCTGTCATACTTTATTACATTATTATTATTATTATCATCCATACTCGTCTTTAAGTTTCGTTAGATTTCTTCTTTGTTTCCCTTTCGAATTCTATTCTAAGATAGAGATCGTTATTTCGAATAACGTTTGAATTTGTTGTTAGGATCAAAATAGGACAGATCGCGAACGAAAATTACGAAGGAAGTCGAGAAATCGTTCGATTTACGAATCCGGCACAAAACTGGACCCCCCGAGGGCAGACAAAGTCTCCTATCGATTAAAAGCGCGTCAATTTGTAGCCACTGACGCGTAATTTGCATCCAGCCTTGAATGGTCCGGCAATCGGTCATGCCGACGTGATTTAAGCCGATGAAAGTACACGCATTTACTATATTTCCTGCCAGACCGACAATATTAATGAATAAAATAAATTTAGAAAATTTCTCTTCGTCTCCTTGCAATTATAATCCGTTTTATTTCGAATAATAATTATTTGCCGCAAAAAAAAAAGTAAAAAAAGAAAAATAATAAGAAAAAGAAAAAGAAAAAAGACGTCTTCAATAATTGATAGTCCTCTTGACATTTTATTTCATACCAAATTGTCTATTTTTATCCAACAATTCGATATCTCGATTGGTTTAATAAATTATTATAAAATAAATCTTTGCGCGTGATTAATTCATTTCGATATTTTCTCGATTCGCGTATCTCTCTCGTGCTTTCTCTCCTTTCGTTACGAAGGAGAGCGAAAAGACTATCGAGTTACGTGGGTAGAGTGCGAACTTGACACCGGCAAGGACACGTTTCGAAAGGAGGAAATAAAAAATGTTTGTACCGGTCCGTTAAAGGACGCTTAGAGTCAGCTGTCGAAGTAACATTCAGGATCGATTCTCAATCTCTCTTGGCGTCGCATCATTTTTAATTTTATTCGTTCTAGAATAGTCGTAGACGGATAATGAGGAATGGTCGTTGTATATCATTCATAACGCGACGTCTCGTAGAGTCGTCATCTGCGGCTAAAAATTGACGAATTATTTTGGCGATCTTTTCGAAAATAAATCTTCTCTCATTCCATCTCTCTCTCTCTCTCTCTCTGTTTCTTTCTTTACCGCGAAAGAATAATCATCGAATTATTTTCTTCGCGTCGAGATAGAATCGATCGGTACTAATTAACGAAACCTTTCCAAATTGCATTTTATTTGAATCGGCTTGAATCGATAACGATCACCGATACGTCGACGTTGCGCGGCTCCGCTAGCGTTGCATAAATTACGAGAGACTGAACGCTACGGTATAGCAAAATTCGTTTCGATCACTTTCGAGGAACGAAACGAAAAGAGAAAAAGAAAGAAATAGAGAGAGGGAGGGAGAGAAGTGTCTTCCGGCGAAGGTCGTCCAACGAAGGTCGTCCAATGAAGGATTCAACTTGTCCTGGATCCGATTCTAAACCGATCCACGAAAGGAACTCGTCGATTTACGTAATGATCTCGGAAGAAGGAGTTGCTCTTGGCGCCAGCGAAGTATGTTAGCGAATCAAGTCGCTAGTCTCTCTCTCTCCCTTCCTGACAGTTTCTGTCTCGCGTGTCCTCCATTCGAAATTTCTTCGTTTCTTCGATAATCGTCGAATTTGGTGAAAAAGAGGATACGTCGGAAGGATGACGAGAGTTTAGAAATATTCTAGCGCTGTTGCTTTTCCTGTTTGACGAATAGAAGGGAAGGCGAATAAAAAGCGATTAAAGAGATTAAAGCGATTAAAGCGTTACCGTTGGACGCAAGAGGAGTGGAGTGGAGGAAATGTCCGAGCAACAGTAGCCAGTCAGACAAGAATGGCCCGAGGCTAGGCAGTGATAGACAAGGTCAGCCTCTCCCAACTGGTGACGTTGCTCTCGCTGCGCGCTAGCTACAAAGTACAAGATCGAACGGCTTTATTTAGAGATAGGAAGCTATTATCGAGACGTCGATGTGTATAAGCGTAACTTTTTGTTGCAGATCTTCGGGAGCAAGGCAGACCTGCAGCTCCATACGCAGATGCACATGCGCGAGGCTAAGCCGTACAAATGCAACCAGTGCTCGAAGGCGTTCGCAAACTCGTCTTACCTGTCGCAGCACACGAGGATCCACCTCGGCATCAAGCCGTACCGCTGCGAGATCTGTCAACGGAAGTTCACACAGCTGAGCCACCTACAGCAGCACATTCGCACGCACACCGGCGACAAGCCGTACAAGTGCCGGCATCCAGGCTGCACGAAGGCGTTCAGTCAGCTGAGCAACCTCCAGAGTCACTCTAGGTGCCACCAGACCGACAAGCCTTACAAATGCAACTCCTGTTACAAGTGCTTCTCCGACGAGCCCAGTCTCCTCGAGCACATACCGAAGCACAAGGAGTCGAAGCACTTGAAGACGCACATCTGCCAGTACTGCGGCAAGAGCTATACCCAGGAGACCTACCTGGCGAAGCACATGCAAAAGCACGCGGAGAGAACCGACAAGAGACCCCCGATCATTGGCACCGGTCTCAGGCCGTCGATCCACGCGATGGCAGCTCACCATCAGGATCATTATTGGCCGAAGATGAGTCCGGACTCGGTTATCGGCGATCTCCACGAACGGCTGCCACATCACCACGCCGAATACCATCAGAATCAGAACCCGGAGATGCTTTTACCTGGGCACGGGGGGCATCGCTCCGGCGAGTCCATAGAGAACGATTCGAGGCAACAGACGCCTCAGCCCGGACCTGCGGGGAATCATCATCCGAACAGTAGCTCGGCCTTCACGCCGATATCCTCGATCTCGATAAACTCGATATCCTCGATGCAGCATCCCCTCAATCCCCTTAATCATCTTCATTATCCCGCCAGTCATCATCCGGCCTCGAGGCCTTACCTATACGAGGCCTTCAACTCGACGCAAAAATCCTCGCCCACTTCGTCCTCCTCGGGCGTAACGCCCGGGACGACGAGCAACCAGAACGCCACCTCCTTTCCCAACCAACTGATCAGCCTTCACCAGATCAGGAATTATGCTCATCAGCCGAATCTTGGCAATCTCGGGAACCTCAGCAACATCGGTAATCTCGGCAACCTGAGCAGTCTCAACGCCACCATGGAGAGCCACGCGCTTCTCGGAGGACTCAAGGAGAAACAGTAATCTCTGTTTCTCTCGATTACAGCGGGATTAGACGCTAGGGAAATTTATCTTGTTCAAACTACTCTTCTTTTTCTTCTACCCCCATCATCTTCTTATTCTTATTCTTATACTTATTCTTATACTTATTTTTATCCTTGTTCTCTTTTTTTTTTTTCTTTTTTTTTATCATTATCGTCGCAATTGTCTAGTTACGGAGTTAGACCGATATCAAGGACCAGCTCGATCCTTTTTCCCTTCGGCCATTTCCTACAATTTCTTTGATAATTTTTTTCTTTCGTTAAATCTCTTATACTTTTTTTTTCCTCCGACTGCGCTCTATCTACGTTTTAGTTTTACTTTTAATTTCGCTAAATGTTGTTCCTTAACCCTCTTTTTTCTCTCAAAGAATATCTATGTATATACATAAATATTATATTCCTTTTTCTTTTTTTCCACTTGATCTCTTTTTATTCCATCCAAAAAAGGAGACTGCTATTTTCTCCTCCAGCATTTTTTTCTATTCTCATTTTTTTCATCGTCTATTCTCGCATATTATTCGCGGCAATGTCGACCTACTCTAAATCATTTCTTTTTCGTTTATCACGCGTGCGCGCTTTTGCTTATATATTCTCTCTCTCTCTCTCTCTCTCTCTCTCTCTCTCTCTCTATCTGTTTCTCTCATTTTTCGTTTCTCACACCCAACCATTCTTCCTCCCACACATAATACGCGTGCATTATCACGTACACGTGTAACCCCATCTCTGTCTTCTTTTCTTCCTTTTTCTATTTCTCTTCCTCTCTCTCTCTCTCTCTCTCTCTCAGCGTTCGTCCATTCGCACGATTTGTGATACACACAAGTGTGTTTGTGTGTTTGTACGCGTAATACGTGCGGTTTATTTCGTTAAGTGCGTAACGTAACATTTTTGCTAATTATGCTTCATATCGCGAGTCGTGCGTAGTTCACACGCGCGCACGCCAAAAGTTAATATTCGTGATCGAGCTAGCACGAAAGTTAATTTCATCTGTTAAAAAGCGGACTCGTATATAGATGTATATATGTATACGTATATACATATCTACGTATGTATGTATGTATGTATGATGAGAAAGCGTGTAGCACTCCGGAAAAAAAAGGTACTTCAATTACAATATACTTTTCATTCATGTTCCTTTTTGTTTTCCTTTTAGTATTTTTACTTCTATTTCTATCTTTCTCTCTCACTCCCTCTATATATATATATATATACACACATTTATATATATATATATATTTTTTTCCTTTTTCTCGTTACTTAACTTGCAATCGATAAGGTATGCACTATCGAATATATATGTTGGTATAAAGAAAAAGAAAATCGAACGAGCGAGCGAGAAAACTGATAAAGTAAAATAAACTAAGGAACCTTTTGGAAAATATAATAGTATGAGAGAGAGAGAGAGAGAGATAGCGGAAGGATGAAAATTAGAATTATGAAGGTCCAATGTGATCGATTAGCGAATTTTTGCGGAGAGTGGCTTAATTCATAGATTTTTTTTTATTTTTGTAATTTTTTGGAGTGTAGAGAATTTTTGTAGAGAGAGAAAGAGAGAGAGAGAGAGAGAGATTCAGAAATGAAAACAAACATTTTTCTATAAGGAAATCTAAATAAAAGCAAGAGTTGAATTCGTTAGTACGAGTGGAATAATCTTTTTGAAGGGATTTTTCTTATCGACATGGAAAATGAATAATATATATGTGAGTAATTGACCAAAAGAAAATAAGAGAATAGAACGAAGATAGAGAGAAGAAATATAGCAGTTTATGGGATGAAGGAACTACAAAGAAAGAAAAAAGAGATATAAAAATAGAAAGAAAGAGAGAACGAAAGGAAAAGAAAAGAAGAAGAAGAAGAAAAAATATAAAAAGAGGGTTTTGCAAATTGGGAGTATAGGTAAATATAGTACGAAACGCGCGTAGAAAAAAATGTCTCACACAACAATAAAGGAGCGAACGGTATGGAGGACCTCCTTGTATATAGCAATTATATAAATATATACAAATATATATGCACACATACGTATATATGTATATATATATATATATCTATGTGTGTGTGTGTATCTATATATATATATATATATATA